GGGTCTATTAAGTTGGTTTAGCTCAGCTTAATTTAGTTTAAGCATGTCAATATTTGCTAGAAATTTATTCATTTCTTCCAGATTCTCACGTATATTAGCATAAAGGTTTGAAAAGTATTCCCTTATAATGTTCAGAATCTTAGTTTCAGTGGTGATGTTACCATTCTCATCTCTGAGTTTGTTTATATGGGTGTGTTCTCTTTTTTTCTGATAAGATTTGCTAAGGGTGTGTCAATTTTGTTAATTTTTTCAGAGAACTAACTTTTGTTTATTCTTTCTATTTTTTTGGACTCTAATTCATTTAATTCTGATTTAATTTTAATTATTTCTTTCTGTCTACTGGATTGGGGTTTACCTTGTTGCTCTTTTTCAGGAGCTTAAGTGCCTTGTTAAATTTTTGTTTCAGATCTCTCCAATTTGTTGCTTTAGGAACTCAGAGCTATAAACGTGCCTCTGAGTACTGCCTTTGCTGTGTCCCAGAGGAGCTGGTGATTTATGTGTTCATTTTTGTTAAATATCATAAACATTTGAATTTCCTTTCTCATCTTTTATATGACCCACTGGTGGTTCAACGGTGTGTTTTTCAGCCTCCATGTGTTACAGGATTTCTTTTGGTGGCTTTTGGTGTTGAATTCTAATTTTATTTCCATTTGTTCTCAGAGAATGCAGGGCATAATTTCAATGTTTCTAAATTTGGACAAATTTGCTTTGTGACCTAAAATGTTGTCTATTTTGGAGAATGTTCCATGTGCTCCTTAGAAGAATGTGTATTCTGATGCTGCTGGGTGAAATATTTGGTAGATGTCTGTTAAGTATAGTTGATCTATTCAGTTGTTTAGTTCTGAGGTTTCTGTTGAGTTTTTGCTGGGTTGAGCTATCCAGCAGGGATAGCTCATTAAAGACAATTAATGTCTTTGGATCTATGTGTGATTTTAGGGAAAGTAGTGTTTCTTGGATAAATTGGGGTGCTCCATTATTTGGTGAGTATATTTTTAGAATTATGATATCCTCCTGAAGGAGACATCCCTTAATTACTATGTAATCACCTTCTTTATCTCTTCTCACTAATTTTAATTTGATGTCTATTTTATCTGATATTAGGATTGCAACTCCTGCCTGTTTATGGGGGCCATTTGCTTGGTAGATTTTATTCCAGCCTTTTACTTTCAGAATATGTTTGCTTTTGTGAGCAAGGTGTGTCTCTTGAAGGCAACAGACAGAAGGATCTCTTAATTGGAGATTTACGACCATTAATATTGAGAGTTAGGACTGAGAGGTGTTTAGTAGTTCCTGCCATGTTATCTACCTTTGTGGAGGCAATGCCAACTGTGTTCTTCCTATGCTTCTTGGATTCTCTCTTTGGGGGCTGTTTCTTGGCCTTTATTGTGCTCTTGTTGGTTTTCTATGTGCAGGACATCTTTAAGTATCTTGCTATGCAACGTTTTTATTTGACCTTCTGTTATGAAGGAGAGTTTTACTGGGTACAATATTCTTGTTTGATAGTTGTTTGTCTTTAGGACATGGCATACATAATTCCATGCTCTTCTTGCTTTCATGGACTCTGCTGAGAAATCTGAAGTTATTCTGATTGGTTTCCCTTTATAGGTGATTGGTCTTTTTTTCCTTGACAGCTTTAAGGATCCTTTTCTTGGTCTGAATTGATCCTGTGTGAATTACAATATGATGGTGGGATGTCCTGTTCTAGTCTGGTCTATTTGGGGTTCTAAATGCTTCTTGTATTTGAATAAGCCTATGTTTTTCATGTTTGGAAAGTTCTCTGCTAGGATCCTGTTACATAAATTTCCTAGACCATTAACTTCTGTTTCTAGGTGCTCCTCTACCCCCATTATCCTCAAACTAGGCCTCTGATGGTGTTTTCTAGGTGTTTAATAGATCTATCATATTTCTTGAATTTGTCTTGAATAGTTGTCTGTTCTTTCTCTGTAATATTTAAGTTGTGGCTTAATTGAATAGGAAGAGGATGTCTTAATTAACAGGAACATATGTAACAGGATTTCTTAATTAAAGCATAATAGAAATGGGATGTAACTAAAATACAATCAACCAGGGCCAGCCCATACTGAGCTGTCTCTGCTTGGGAGGAACAACTCTCCCCAGGGGTGGAGCTGAGCCTTTTGACCTGCTGAATGTCTCCTATTGTCTTCTTCCCAGGCCTGAGTTATGCTAGCTGCTCTAGCTGGGTCTGGGTCAGTATCAAAGATGGAGTTTTTCTCTGGTGGTGGGGGAGGGGCTACCTTCCCACTGCTGCTCCGAGAGGAGTGAGGATGTCTTGGGGATACTCAGAGCTATCCTTTGGTTTCCGGTCCGTTCATGTCCATGGTCTGCGACTGTCTGTGGTCAGCCAAATGAAGATTTCTACTCCTTGTCAGCTCTTGCTGGCAGTGAGTAGAATCCACTTGCACACCATCTCTGTGCCTTTGTCCTGGACTTTCTATGTCGATGTGGCAGCCAGCGGTAGCTGCTGCCACTGCTGCCACTGCTGTGAACTGGGGATGCTCCAATCTGTGTCCTTAAGCTGCCTGAGTTTTTCCTCTCTGGCCAAACTCTCACACTTGGTGTGACTCTCTAGCCTTAGATTTTCCACTGGAATACTAATATTGGTTTCTACGCAATCTTCCTCTCGTGTCTCTAGCTACTTTTTGGGAAGACATCTGCTCCCATCTGCTGGGAAAATGTCTTTCAAACCTGACACAGCAGCATGAAGCATTAGCTTAATTTCCTCATGTCTCATGTCAAGTGAGCTAAGAGTCTATTGGCATACCATTTGGGGGGTTTGCTTTGTTTTCAAGTCTTCATAAATGTGTAATTGTGTCTTCAAGCATAATAATTAAGTAGAATAGTAAGCCAGGTACTTTAGAACATAAAACCCAGCTGTAAAACCTACTTTTGACCTTTCAACTACTTTCTTTCTATCTTGATAATGATTAATAGATATATATCAGGTCTAATCTAAAGCTGTATATAAAATTTTAAAGTTTAACTTGATAATTGTTAATGCTAATGAATAAGACAAAAGATTATTTACACTCAAATCTGATCTTTCGTAAAATCCATTCATTTCCTCTTACTCATATTTTATTAGCTTCAATTAGTATACAAGGAAGTTTTATTGTGACATGTCTACATAAGCATGCAATGTACCTTGATCAAACTTGATCCATGAAGCCAGTTGAACCCTAAATTGGCAATAGAATAGTAATGTTCACTTTCAACACTAGATGGCAGTGGTACTCAGTAATGCTTTAAAAAACATTGTAAACATTCCTTTGTAGAATGCACTGAGCTTATTGAGCAAATTTTAATGTGCCCTTTCTCTGTCTTATTCTTCTGGCACAATAAAGCATCAACCTTCATCAATGTTCCCTTTTCTTTTATATGGGCAAGTGACTAGTCAGTCTAAGCATTTTCCCTTACCACCTTTCCATCCCTACCACCACCTGCCAAAGCTTTGTGACTGAGGATATTTTCCTAATTAGCTGATTTGAATGCTACTAGTTGAAGCATACTGATGAAGTCAGCTGTTTTCAGTGATCCCCTGGGCCTTTTAGGAAGACAGACTAGTTTTAGAACAGAGCAGAACAAATGAAAAAGAAAGAAATAAGGGACTGGCCCAGTGTTTTAACTCTTTATGTAAAAACTCACCCATAGTTTGTGTGAGAAATAGACAATTCTAATCTAATTTTTAATTGAAATAATAAAATTACTATTTATTTTCTTTAATCTCCTCATCTTTGAAAAGTCCTTATACTATATGGAGAATACATACGTTAAGCATTTCTATTATTTGCAATCAGTCAGTTCTGGGGCTTGAACTCAGGGTATCACACTCTCATTTGGCTTTTTTCTCTCAAGGCTGGTGCTCTACCACTTGAACAATACCTCCACTTCTGCCTTTGGGGTGGTTAATTGGAAAAAAAAAATCTCTTGGATTTATCTGGTTTCAAATTTATATCCTCAGATCTCAGCTTCCTAACAAGCTAGGTTTACAGGTGTGAGCTACCACAGCCCAGCGTTATTTCCATTTCTTTAGGTATTGTGAAGAGTAGAAAATATATATAATTAGTTTTAACACTTCATCTCACACAATGGGGATATAGTAATAGTATTGTGAGGAACAATGTCTTACCTATTCCTTTTTGTCAATCTTTTGAGAATTGTTTTTCTGAAAAGATCCTCCTTTGCCAAATGGTTGGCCCTGGTTGATTGTATTTTAGTTACATCCCATTCCTACTATGCTTTAATTAAGAAAGCCTGTTACATTTATCCCTGCTAATTAAGACATCCTCTTCCTTTTCAATTAAGCCACAACCTATTGTAGATTTTGAACCTGAGCTGGCCAATCTGAGCAGAGGGGCAGGGCCCACTGCATTAGGAATAAAAAGGGAGCAGCCTGATTGTTCTGTGAGATTTCTTACTGGATTCTGGCTAATGGTGCACCCTTCTGCAGAAGTAAACTCTACCTTGCTGAGTTTCTTTAAAGATGCTGTCCATATTCCTGTACAATACCCCAGCATCCCAAGGATTGCTTTCTTTTTTATTATCTTAGTTTTTGAAGTATATGAATACATATCTCTTAATCATCTAAACTAGATCCAAAACATATGAGAATCCTTTGTGTCTATACATAATGTGTTGATATAATTTTATATGCATTTCTTATAAGTTATTTTTCAAATAAGATCATATAGATGCCAGTATTCTGCTGTTTTGGCCTTTTCTGATTTGGTGATGTAGATGAGGAAAGTTAATCTTCCTGCTTTCTGAACGAAAGGGATGCTATGTTTACTGTGAACAAGGGCACTGTGTTGGATTACTACCACCAACCTGTTCTTTCTGCTATCGTTCTCCTTCTGCTCCTGGCATTTTATATGTACTTCTGTTTATTTTCAGAAAAGAAAAGTGAGAAGACTTTAGAAAGTCAACCTGTTTCACTGCATTCTGAACTGTATTTCTCCTATTTCCCTTTTCCCTCCACACAGGTCAGAGTTTCCCAAGGCAAAGAACCTACTCACCTGCTAAGTTTGTTCAAAGACAAACCACTCATTATTTACAAGAATGGAACATCAAAGAAGGGAGGGCAAGCACCTGCTCCCCCTACACGTCTCTTCCAAGTACGGAGAAACCTGGCATCCATCACCAGGATTGTGGAGGTAATGCCATGTATCTAGTAAAATGTGCCCTTCACACAGGTGGCAAGTAACTGCTTTACATCTCTCTAATACAAATAAAATCTAGAATTAAAAAAACACAACATTGAAAGCAAGGGAGTTGAGTTCAAAGTTAAAACTCTGGTTTCTCACATTTTTCAACTGCCCTGAACTTGAAAGAATACTGTCATAAATGAAGTTGAAAAAGGCAGGAGGCAGCTCTCATCTTGAAAGGTTTGGTGTAGAAGGATTGGGAGTGGTGGTCAGGTGACACCACATGGGGCCTTGTCTGTACAAGCATAACAAATGTGGAGAGCAAGCTTGGTAATGTTGGACCAACCCCATCACACTTCACATCCCAGTCACCTCTGTCACTAATGATTTCCAGTGCTCCCTAATCACCCTTAAATGTCCCTGTTCATTCCAAACAGGAACCTACCTACCAAGCCTTTCCTCTGAGCCCAAGCTATTTAGCTGAGACCTTAATATCAAGTCAATCAGCCGGGTGTCCATGGCTTACACCTGTGATCCTAGTTATTCAGGAGGCTGAGAGCTGAGGATTGTGATTTAAGCCAGCCTGGGCAGGAAACTCTGTGAGACTCTTATTTCCTTAATTAATTACTAAAATGCTGGAAGTGAAGCTGTGGCTCAAAGCAGTGGAGCACTAGTCTTGAGCACAAAAGCTCAGGGGCAATGTCCTGGCTCTGAGTTCAAGTCCCAGGACTGGCACAAAATAAAAACAGAAGCAAAACGAACTGTGGTCAGTCTTGCATCACTCCACTGCCAACATCTTCTCTAAGTCTGCTCTGAGGCTGTCATCTGAGGACAGATGTTCATAGAGTGCTCTTTGGTGCTGAGGTGTATTTCCTTCCAATGTCCATTTAACAGGGCCTCTAGATGAGGCTGGGGCATTCTCCTTGCTCACTCCTTCCTAACCATTGCTGAGTGAACATAGAGGTTTATTTTCCCTCCACTGATCTCACATGAGTTGACGCCAGCCCCTTGTCACCTTTTCTCTATCATCTTGGCTCTTTCCTCAATATGAGACATACAGATTCCAAATGACAAGTCCTGAAATCCAGACCTGGTTGCTATAATTCTTCATCACCACAGCAAGTGGGCTCCTTTGAGTCGGGTCTAGGAGGCCTCATTCCTGCCAGGAGAGAACTGTCACCACGCCCCTGAATGAAGCCAACCCTTGGGACCTGCTAACATCAATGATCATTCCTTCTTCCTGTAGTGTTCTCTCTGGGGAATGTGGTTTTGTAAAAATAACAAAAAGCTATTGTTGACACTTTCATCATGGCTGTTCAGTGTGGTCGGCCGAGTGGTATTTTGCACAGCAGTCCACCCCTGCCTTTTTATTTTTATTTCCCCCCCCCCCAGTACTAGGGATTGAAATGAGGATTGTGCACATCCAAGGCAAGCATTCTACCACTCGAACCTTTCATTTCTCCTTCCCCTGGCCCTTTCTTGTTTTGTTTGATTTTCAGATAGGATCTTGCACATTTGCCAGAGTTGGCCTCTGCTCTTGAGTAGCTGGGATTATAGGCACATGCCACAATGCCTGACTACCTCTGCCTTTCTTGACATATTGGTTCCTTGACTTCAGGATTGCCACGCTGTGTGTTTCCCCTCTGTCTTGCTTTTCATGGCTGTTCCATCCCAGTCTTACTGGTTTTTGTCTCCCTGGAATCACACGTAACAGTCCACACTACAATTATGCAGAAAGTCACACACAGTGACATTGCTACACAATATTGTGGTCAGACCTGTTCTCACAGAAATGGACACAGTTGCCAAATCCAAAGATCATACGCCCAAGACCTCTTAGAAACCTCCTAACTTGCTATCAAGCCTGAGATAGCTCATACCACATTCCCACCTGGAGGTCAAAGTTTCCAACTTCTGGTCACAGACTGGGCTCAGACAGGCCTTTGTATCCACAGGGAACAGATCTGTGTTAACTCAGCACATCTGGGGTAGTGACAACTTCTCAGAAAGAAATGGTGTGCCAAATGCTGGTGTTGGGTTTTTTGGGGGGGATCCAGTTGTGGGGCCTGGGTGCTGTCCCTCAGCTCTTCAGCTCAAGGCTAGCACTCTACCACTTGAGCCACAGCGCCACTTCTGGCTTTTTTCTTTTTGCTTATGTGGTGCTGAGGAACCGAACCCAGGGCCTCATGCATGCAAGGCAAGCGCTCCACCACTGAGCTACCTTCCCAGCCTGCTGGTGCTGGTTTTTAATCCCGTGTGAATATTCTTTTATAATTTGAACTGTAATTTATCCAACTCTGGAGCAAGTTGAACTGAATCTATAGTATCTTGTTGCCTCTATATTGGAGTACAGTCCTTGTTTCATATTTCCTAGGTTTCCCTTTGATTATTTGACAAGCCTTTACATATATATATATATATATATATATATATATATATAGTGAAAATACTGTACAGAGGGGTTACAATTACATGAGCAAGGTAATGAGTACATTGTTGCCTCCTCCTTTGTTTCCCCTTACCATCCCTGCCCTCCCATCTCCTATCCCTCCACTCCCCCTGCTGCCGCCAAAGTTGTTGCAATGGGTCCATCTGTATCCCTATTTAAACAATTTGTTTTTTCCCTTCACCTCCACAAATTATACCAACATCAAATACAGTGAAAACAGGTTATACCGTGGGGGAGGGTCATACAAAGCAACAAAGAAATCATCTTATAAATATGTTAGAAACAATAGCAAGAAAGAAAAACAATTTGAGTCCTTATCTTGGGGTTCATTTCGCCTAACATCATCTTATCTGACTGTTTCTGCTTTGACAAGCCTTTCTTTATGAGGGAGAAAAAATATATAGTATCCCTCTGTTTGCATTTTAGTTGAATATTATGCCCTTTTTCCAGTCTTTAGTGATAGCCTATCCATGGGCTTATGGTATCTTTAAAAGTCAGTTTTACTTGTGTTCAGATCCCCTCATCTTTCCTCCCTGCCTCCCTGCATCATTTTCGTCCTTTCTCCCTCTTTCTTTTTGAGACAGGGTCTTGCTATATAGTCCAGGCTGACTTAGAACTCCTGATCCTTTTGCCTTAGTTTCCCAAGTGCTAGAATTAGAGGAATGTGTTGCCATTCCTAGCCAAAACCTCTTTTTCTTTTTCTTTTTTGTCAGTACTGGGGCGTGGACTCTGAGCCTCCCACTTACTTGGCTTGCTTATGGCTGGTACTCTGTCACTTGAGCCATGCTTCCAACCTGGGTGTTTGATGGTTATTTTGGAGATGGAGTCTCACACAGTTTTTACCTTTACTGATCTTAGCCTCCAGAGTAGCTAGGATTTATAGGCCTCAGCCAACTCTAGGTACAAAGCCCTCAATTTACTCTTATTTTTTTTTAAGGTGCCAATAGTTAGGGCTTGAACTCAGGGCCTTCATTCTGGAACTCAGGCATTTTGCTCGTGGCTGGTGCTTTATCATTAGAGCCATGCCTCCAGTTCTAGCTTTTTATGGTCAACAAATCTTGCAGATTTGTTTTCTTGGGCTGGCTTTAAACTACAATGGCCCCCATCTTAGTTTCTTGAGTATCTAGGATTACAGATACAAACCATCTGTGTACTGTTTAAAACCCTTACCTCTCATTATTTGAGCCCTACTGTTTGAGGGCATTGGGGTGTTAAAAATTACACAGGAACAGGTGCTCCTAGGCCAGAATTTCAAGCATCCGGTTGCAGTGGTGCTCTGGGTGAACTTCCAAGGGAGTCCAGGAGGCTGTGGGTGCTTCCTCTCAGTCATAGCTCCTGTGGAATGATCACTGTGGGAGCAGGGTAGATCTGACTCATTGTGCTATTTTTCTTCATCCTCTAGGTCAATGTGGATGCAAATTCATTGAATTCCAATGATGTCTTTGTCTTAAAACTGCCCCACAACAGTGGCTACATCTGGATAGGAAAAGGCGCTAGCCAGGAGGAGGCCAAAGGTGCAGAGTATGTGGCAAATGTGCTCAAATGCAAAACAGCAAGGATTCAGGAAGGCGAAGAGCCAGGTGTGTGCTTAGGACAGGAACCAGATTTCAGTTTGGAACACTAGCTGTTGGGCTTTTTTCATAAATGGGATTTTTTTTATGGCTCTAGGGGTTTAGAATCCCTCTATTAGTTACATGTTAGTAGGATGTTTAAGTTGAGATATGACTGTTAGTGTGAAATATTCGCAAGCATTATGTCCTTGAATAAGCGTTCAGTAACTCAATGTGTTTTCCACAGAGGAATTCTGGAGCTCCCTTGGTGGGAAAAAGGATTATCAGACTTCACCTCTGCTGGAAACACAGGCTGAAGACCATCCACCTCGGCTCTATGGCTGTTCCAACAAAACAGGAAGATTCATTGTAAGCCTACCATTGAGCAGCCTGTGCTCAGAAGTGTCCAGCCATGGGATAGCTGATTTCTAGGTTCAGTTGACCTGTAAGCTATGGATGGCTAACCTGTGCTCCATACCAGGGAACTTAAGAGTCAATGATGCAAACATTGATATGAAAGTGTTGAAGAACACTGTTCAGTAATCTACAAAGTTCCTCTTAAAAGCAGCTACTTTGCCAGGCGCTGGTGGTTCACGCCTGTAACCCTAGCTACTCAGGAGGCCGAGGTCTGAGGATCGAAGTTCAAAGCAAGCCAGGGGAAGAAAGTCTGTGAGACTATCTCCAATAAACTATCAAAAAGCTGGAAGTGGAGTTGTGGTCAAAGTGATAGAGCATTGGCTTTGAGTGCAAAAGCTTAGTGCCCAGGCTCTGAGTTCAAGCTCCAGGAACAGCACCAAAAGACACAGAGAAAAAAAAAGGCAGTTACAGCAGCTACTTTATATTGTGTCAGCATTTAGGATGCTATATAATTGTGTACAGCTAAATTTGCTAGCTTAGTAATTAGATATTTTCCTTTTTCTTTTCTTTTTTTTTTTTTTGTCAGTCATGAGGCTTGAACTCTGGGCCTGGGCGCTGTCCCTCAGCTCTTCAGCTCAAGGCTAGCGCTCTACCACTTGAGCCACAGTGCCACTTGTGGCTTTTTCTGCTTATGTGGTGCTGAGGAATCGAACCCAGGGCCTCATGCATGCAAGGCAAGCACTCTACCATCGAGCCACCTTCCCAGCCCTAATTGGATATTTTCTGTGGGTAGCAATTATTTCCAGTCTGCCTAACATTTCTGTTTCAGTTTCCCAGAGGAATAAAAACATTCTCAAGTTCACTGAATGAAAAAATACTGCAAATCACCTACAAAAATCACAGATATATATAGATAGAGATCTCTCTCTATGTATATATGTATATATCTCTCTATATAAATATATCTATCTGTAAATGAGCTGAAATGAACAGTGATGTTTTGTTTTCTAGTCACTTAAATGCTTTGAATTCTAGGTAATTAAAAGTTTTTAAAATTAAAAGATCTGTGTAAATGTCCTAGTTCAGTTTGCTTAAAAAAAATACTGAGGACAAGATAGTTTAAGTAGTATTTATTTCTCAAAGTTCTGAAGGCTGAAAAGTCCAAGATGAACGCATAAGCAGACACTGTTGTTGTCTGGTGAGTGCTGGCTGCTTCCCGGTCTGCTCACTGCATCTTCACTTGGCCTGGTCCGGCTTCATTCTTTTCTATGACTCTGCTTCTTTTAGGAGCTCTACCCCTATGACCTCAAATAAACTCAATCACTTTCTGATGGTCCTGCCTTCTAGTATTGTCCCACTGGAAGCTATGGCTTCTACCTGTGAATTTTGGGGAACTACAAGGATGTAGTAGTCCATGACAGTCCAAGGCTGATTTTCTACCAGGCTTTGAAATAATCACCCTGGGCAATGGCCTCACCAAAGTACAGCCAAACACTGTCATCTCCTAGATGCTAGACTTTGTGTCAACTTAAATGATAAATCTTCTTTTTCACATAAAATGCCATCTCCAGATCATCCTGGTGAATAGAAGCCTGATTTTCAACACACACTTGGAAGTTTCCTGAGTCCTTTCCACACACATTTATTCCTAGGAAAAGAAAATGCCTTAGCTGAGTCCTGTGGCTCAAGCTTGGAATTCTAGTGACTCAGGAGGCTGAGATATGAGGATCACAGTTCAAAGCCAGACCAGGGAAGTAAAGTCTGTGAGACTCTTATCTCCAATTAACCAACAGAAAACCGGAAGTGAAGCTATGGCTCAAAGGGGTAGAAGTGCTAGCCTTGAGCAAAAGAGCTCAGATATAGCACCCAGGTCCTGAGTTCAAGTCCTACAGCTGACATTAGAAAAGAAAAGAAAATGCCTTGAAGAAGAAATTGTTTATATATAAATCATGCTTGAAATTTTGGAGTAATTTGGCCTAAAAATTAAAAAATGTAATAATGGGATAATGGTCCATAGTTTAGGTTGTTGAGAGCACAGATTGATTGTCATCCACTTTGTAGGAAATTCTCACATTTGCTGTCTTTCATAAACTTGTTATGAGAAAAAAATTGTTTTCACTATTAATTGAGCATTCCATCCAAACAACTTCTTCTGTGTCATATGCTTTTCCCATGGCCTATGTAATTTCCCATCAGCTTTATTTGCTAATACTTCTATAAATTAGATGTTTGTTTTTCAGGACAATGTAGTTTACAAAAGCATATTTTGTAAGTACCCAAGGCTTATTCTCAGTCAGGATTCAAATAAAAAATTCTATTAGTCTTTTTTGTCATGTACACGTTAAGCCTTTCTGAGAAATACACCCTTTCTCTGTAGCCCACCCACTTTCTTGTTTGATATTTGGAATTCTTCCTGCAAAAAGACTGTCCCTGACAGTCTGACAGGCTGATCCTGACAGTCTCAAGGTATACTGTGAACAGCACTGCTTTTAGAACCAGTTTACTTAAGTGATATCACTTATCTGGTGACATTGCTCACTTAGTCTGATTCCTTACCCTCTCTGTAATTTAGTTTTACTCATTTGTAAAATGTAGAAATAATAGTACCTACTTCTAATAATTGTTATAAATATTAAATTAATGATTGCATATAAGAGATTAGAAAAGTCCATATTTAAGGGTTTTTTTTGTTCATTTTCTTTTGTGCTGGTTCAGGGCCTTGTACTCTTGCTTGGATTTTTCTGCTCATAACTAGCATTCTACCATGTTGAATCACACCCCCAGTATGGTTTTTTGCTGAGTTGTTGGAGATAGCATCTCATGAACTTTCCTGCCTGGGCTGGATTTGAACTGAGATCCTCAGACCCCAGCCTCTTGAGTAGCTAGGATTACAGGTATAGCCTAGATCTCACTATCTCATTGAAGTTCAACAATGGAAATATGCTTAGGAGCTAGAGGTTGCCTAGGAGTAGTTTCTTCTCCAATCTGGACTTAGTATGGAGCTTCTGCTCTGGACTGCAGGTTGGATTTATGCTACTTTTCCTCAAGACAGAGCTTAGGAACCCCAGAAAGACCCTGCTGAGTCACGATGGCTAGGCCATGGTCAATGCTGCTTTACTGCACTGCAAAGTCACCTGGCAGACAGAGGGGGTGAAGGATGAGGACCACAATCCTACCTGTCATGTCACACCTTCATGAGTGTCAGAGGATGGTTCACAGTTCCTACACATGTTAAAATATGGCTAATATTGCCCCCTGGTGTTAAGTGGACCACACCAGCCCTCCTGTTACCATTTATTATTCACTACCAGGAATCCCGTGTTAACACACTGAGATGAAAATCATAAAATTTTAGTGTGATGTGAACTTGTTGAAAACTGTTGATCTGGTAAGACAGCCAGGTCTATTGACTTTTGCTAAAATGATCTTGACATAAAAATGAAAGACCAAAAAATGTGATATCTAGACCATACTATCAAATGTCATTATAGACTAGACAGGCAATAAAATACTGATTGTATAGGCCTCACTGGAAGCCACTTGTCATAAGGAACTATAAGGTCTGAGAACAGTGGTCAGAATGACTATGTCCTTCCCAAAGGCATGCAGAAACAGTGTTTATAGTAAATACTTCACTGGCCAAGGGTTACCAACAGTTTGTTATCTCTGATTATGTAGATGAACAACCACTTAAATCTCTGTTACCCAAAAGGAAGAAAAAGATAATTATCAAAGTTTGTTTTGTTAAACTTGTGAAGGTTATGCAAAGCATTTGTATCTTGTGTGTCAGAAAAATGTTGTCTGTCTTGTTTGGTCATTAAGCATTTTGTACATTTCAGATTGAAGAGGTCCCAGGAGAGTTCACCCAGGATGATTTGGCAGAAGACGATGTCATGCTACTAGATGCTTGGGAACAGGTAGAAACTGTATATTGCTCAAAACAAGTGAAAGTACTTACAGTTGGAAAATGAGACAATGAGTCTTGTGATTTGGGTTATTATTCAAAGGAAGCTTAACATACTTTGACAAAATAACAAAATTCATTTATAGGACAAGTTGGATTTTTACTCTGTAAATAATTTTACAGGTACTAACTTTGGCTCTGTGGTTTCATGCAAAAATTTCTGTTTTTCATTTATTTGTAAAATGCACTTGGCTCCTAATTTATTCATGCATTCCTCTTGCCAATCAGTACATTAATTTGTATAATGCCATGGGGGTCACAATGATATTGAGCATTTCTCTTGAAATCTGACAAGAAGTTGTAAAGAACTTCTCTCCCGGGGAAGGAACCAGCAAAGAATAATTGTAATCAAATCAGTAAAATGTTACTGTTTTAAATGTCTTAATTGAGGAGAAAATTAATGGCAATTTGATATGCCAAATCTACTAGTTTTTTTAGAATCTTTATGTAAATTAAAACCAGTGAAAGGAGAGAATTACATAGAACAAGTATGAAAACTCAATTAATTTAGGATTAGTCCTAGAGTCAATCACAGAGATTTTGCTTTTAGATCTGCATCTAATGACTCGGCCATTCTTGAGTTACACCCAAGCCTCTTGGTCTTTGATGACCATCTTTGAATTGGAGAATTCATTCCCAGATTCTCCTCATAATGTACCTCATTTTTAAAAAAGATAATACTTTGTATTTAACTTCTTATGCTTTCATAGTATGTTCTGTGGCCAGAACACTTTCACTGTGAATTAGAATACAATCAAAACAATTTGATGCCGAGTGCCAGTGGCTCATGTCTGTAATCCTAGCTATTCAAGAGGCTGAGGTCTGAGAATTGTGGTTCAAAGCCATCTCAGGCAGGAAAGCCCATGAGATTCTTATATCCAATTACTCACCAAAAAGCCAGAAAGTAGACCTGTGGCTTAAGTGGTTAGAGCACTAGCCTTGAGCAACAAAAGCTCAGGGATAGCACCCAGGCCCTAAATTCAAGCTCTAGTATTGGCACAAAAACAAAGCAAGCAAAACAAAAATAAAGAAAGCAAGCCTTAATTTGACCAAAATTATTCTGCAAACAAGCATTTTAATGAGAGTAATGTATTTCATGAAAATTTATAGCATTAAAATACTCAACTCACACACAGCAAAAATGAGGATACATACATGAATATATGTATACACACACACACACATATATATATAGTATGAATATATATACTTAGAACAGATTATATATGAATTCCTTTTTTTTAAAAGGCCTTGGTATTTAAATAGTAAGCATCATAGCACTCTACCAAAGTTTTATTGGGCACAGCAAGAAAAAAAATCTCTAGACTTAATTCATAAATGCCCTAGTCTGGAGACTGGCGCAGACAAGTTCTGTGTCTACATGTGGTTCTCTCCAGCCATATCTGGGGAATAGGGAGAATGATGGATGTAAAAAAAAAATTCAAATAACAAACACGTTCTTGTAAAGAATCATGTTATAAACTAGACAATGTCATCTACACATAGGATGTTAGTGTTAGAATCTGCAGTCCCACTGGTGGAGATAACGTAGGTGTCTCCTGGTGAGAGCATGCACTGGAATGTAGAGGGTGGTTGCCAGGCCCCCTCTTTCACCTCCTTCCTTTTGGGGTTCTTGTGAAGATGACAACGCCTTCACAATGGTTTGTTGTTTTTTTTTAATAAGTTTTTTATTGTGGAAATACTGTATGTCTTCACAATGTTTGTGAAGTACTTGCTATACTCACTGAGTCATGCTGAGTCAACACTCAAAAACAGCACATTTGACCACTATTTTATTTTTCAGATATTTATTTGGATTGGCAAGGATGCCAATGAAATTGAGAAGAAAGAGTCACTGAAATCTGGTAAGCCACCTCCCAGGGACCAACTGTGTGTTCTAAGTGTCTGACTGCTCTTTCCCACCATAGCCTCCAGAAATACATAAAACACAACGAAGTATCTTAGGTATCACGCTTGGCACTGAAGAGAAGTGGAATCTTTTAAAATTGAAAAAAAGGGGGACACCAGTGGGTACCAGGAAAGTTTTGTTATCTAATTTAGAATATAGTTGTTTTTAAAAAAAATTACATTCACTAAGCCCTTGTTTTATTATGAGAATAGTAAAACCTCTGTAACTGGGAAAATTTATATTTTCCAAAGTAATTTTTGAGTAATGATGTCCTTTTTGGCCCAATATTCTTTTTTTTTGTTTTTTTTTTTTTTTTTTTTTTTTTTTTGTCGGTCGTGGGGCTTGAACTCTGGGCCTGGGCGCTGTCCCTCAGCTCTTCAGCTCAAGGCGAGCACTCTACCACTTGAGCTACAGCGCCACTTCCGGTTTTCTGGTGGTTTTATTGGAGATAGGAGTCTCACAGTCTCTCCTGCCCGGGCTGGCTTTGAACTGCGATCCTCAGATCTCAGCCTCCTGAGTAGCTAGGATTACAGGCGTGAGCCACCAGCGCCCGGCCCAATATTCTTTTTTTTACTTTCAAACTCTATTCTTTTTTTAAATATATATATATATATATATATATTCATTGTAAAGATACTGTACAAAAGGGTTACAGTTACATGAGTAAGGTAATGAGTACACTTCTTATTGAGCAGTTACCCCCTCCTTTGTTTTTCCTCTACCATCCCTTCCCTCCCCACCTCCCCAACTTTTCCCTCCCCCCACATCCCCTCCCCTATCCCAGAAGCTATGAAGTTCATTTTCAACATAGTGTCTTGTATTCTCATTATTACAATGAGTCAACCTGTATCCTTTTTTCAGCATTTTCTCTTCCCCTCCCCAAATTAGAAGAATGCATATACAAGATGCAGGGCACTGGAATCAAATACAGTGAACACAGAGGTTATACCATAGGGGAAGAACATACAAAAGGAACAAAAAAAATCACACAGTACATTATAAGTACATTGAAAACAACAGCAACAAAGATATTCTTTTTATTAAAGGAGATAACAATAATCATGCCACAGCATAATCCCAAAAGCTTGGATTTGTTTAAGGCAAAAATGAATCATTATAATGGTGCTTTCCATGGCAGATGAGAGAAACCAATGAGAAATTATTCATCAATGGCTACTTCAGGCAATGAGAATTTAATTCATGACTTTTATAGGAAGAATTTTCCTCTGTAGTGATTCTAGTTTAATTCAAATGAGCTGATTTTTATATCTTTGCAATTCTTTTTTAGCCAAAGCATACCTTGAGACAGACCCTTCAGGAAGAGATAAGAGGACACCCATTGTCATCATAAAGCAAGGCCATGAGCCACTCACTTTCACAGGCTGGTTTCTGGGCTGGGATTCCAGCAGGTGGTAATCTGATTTTTTGGAAACAAGCAAACATCAGAGGCACATGAGGAGCAAGTGTCTCATTGTTGTTGAGTGGGGAAAACTTTTTGTCTGTTTGTTTGGCTTTAGAAATTAGCCTCAGCCAAATGACTCTTTGCTGCTTCTTTTCAAGGCCTACTATTGCTTCAAAATTCTAAAAGGACTTTTCTTGTATCAACATATTGAAATAACCTAAAATAGACTCTTATTATGCACCAATGTTAGCTCTCCTGGAGACTGCCTTATAACTTTATATATGACCTTTCAAAAGCCAAAGACTCTGTATTATCTAAGAGAATTTGTCAGGTAGGATATTTTATAATTCAGATTTGTTCTTTACTGTGCCAGATTCAGATTTGTTCTTTATTTGTTCTTTATTTGTTCTATGCCAGAGAAGAGAAGAAAGCCTTAACAACTTTCCTCTATTCTATGTATTTTTCTCTTTTCTATGTATTGTCTTAAGAAGAATTGTGTATTTGTAGTATGGTTTATATTAAGGTGGCTTTATAAACATGTTATTTTCCCTTTTTTGTCCTTTTGACTTTGATGCCATTGACATCTTTCCTCTTCTCTTTTTTCTTCTTTTGTCTTTTTAGGGGATTTCGAAAGCAGCTCTTCCATAGTAAATGGTATTCTTAATAGGTTAGCTATTTGTGTTTGACAGTAAATGTTTAATGTCACCAAAAATGTAAACAGAAAAAAGTCACTGATGTTATCTGTCATCATTAAAATGTATCTTTTGGTAAAGGCTTTGCATTGAGACATTTTATTCAAGTTTGATATGAGCTAATCACACTATTTATGATTAAACACTGTTAGACTAGATGTGAAGCTAAATCTACCATTTTGTATGATCATGAAGTATAGACTTTTCCTAAAAGCTAATATATTTAACATATCAAGTTTTTGATGTTTTTATACATTACCATTTTGATATGGTATACTTACACGTAAGGTTTATTGACTCTTTGGTGTATTTCCTATCAATATCGCAAAAGTCACCACAATCTTAGTGACCTAAAACAATACACATATATTGAATTTTGAGCTTCAGAATTTAAAAAAAGGGTTGTCAAGGTTGCAATCTTTTGAAAGCTATGGGGAAGAAGACCTGTACCTCTCTAACTTTTGGGGGATACCTAGAGTCCTTGGCTTATGGACACTTTTACCTTTACAACTAACAAAAAGCGTCCTTGGAAATCTGTCTCCCAATCGGTTTTGTTCTTCCATTGGACTCTCATTCTTCTGCTTCCTTCATTCACTTATAAGGATCCTTTTGCTTACATTAGATCTAGTAGTTTATTGGTACATGGGATAATCTTATCTCATGATCCTTAATTTAATCATAACTGCAAAGTTCCTTTTGCACTCACAGGAGTCTGTCTTTGGGGAGCTAGTATTCTGCCTTGGTAGAAAGGTATATAGTAAAGCTAGTACTTTTTGGCAACTAGCATAGTGGATAAAAGCGGATACACTGAGACACTGCTAGATTTTTTTTCCCTTCTTCTCCTCTAACAACTTTATTTCAACCTAAAACTTTATTTCTAAAATAGAAAATAAATGTGTCTGGGGAAGAATATAGACAACATTTCATCTCTTTCCTAATCCTTGTAAAATTGCTGTTTTGGTTCCAACCTGACAATTTTATAAACTTAATCAAAAGAAAAAAAGAGAAACCTATCATGTTGGGCCCAACTGTGAAGACAAAGGAGTAAGTAGGATATGTCAGCTGTGTTTAGCCAAACCCAAAATATTTTCAACTACTGACTTAATTTAGTAAGATAACATTGAAGGGATTTGTTTTTAGTTTTTGTAAATTCCTGATCATAAAGTGGATTTTTTGTATTTGAAGAGCCAGGAGAAACATTGCTAGAATGATAATATTCTCAGAAGGTTCTCACTGAAGGTCAGGGAACTGGCCTCTAATGGTTCATAACATTCTACCAAAATTTGAACAAGAAAAGATCATTATGTTGAGATTTTGACTTCTGAATATAAAAGTGCTTCAAAAAGGTCATGTTTTTATAAGGCTAAGCAGTATTTTACACAAACTTTTTCTGAGGGCACCAAAGGTAGCATCTTAAAAAAAAATAACCCTTGAATCCATTGCTTATTTGAGTCTACATTTTATTCTTTCCTTTTATTTTTTAGATGCCAAGAGGTCATCAATTACTCACAGCAGAAAAGTTATATAATACCCTGTAGAATCCACACAACCCATTTTTTTTATAACTCATGATAACATTCCTAAGGAGAAAAGGTTGCTGTCCAACACAACTATAAAACACTTTGCAAATAAATGACATAACAGCAAATTACTACCACAGGCTTAGAAAATACATAGAAAAAAAGAACACAAAGTAATAAATGATATCTTAATTTTAATACAAAGAGTAAGTAACAAAATTATTGAGATCATGTCTTTCTTCCTAATAAGATTGTAGGCGTTCCAATTTGTTAAACTTTTCTGGGTTGCTTAGATTTCTAGTTACATGCATTTTGTACTTGTTAGCTTTTAAGATGACTATTAAGTCAGACCAAAAAAAAAAAAAAAAGAATGCCGCTTCATTTAATTATAGGCATGGCTTCCCCCTAGCCTTCTCTTAGTAAACTATTCAAGTTAAGTCTTGGTGGAACCAGATCTCATCCTGATTATCCCTCAACGATACCTAGTAGGCAAATATAACTTACAGATTGCTGATGCTACTGGACTTTTTTTGCTCAGTCTGAAAGCATTGTGGCTTTACAATACTAGAGAAGACTTCATAATATCTTGATAGGCCCTTTAGTTAGAAGACCTTGGTAAAAACCTTGGTTATTTTTTATTATTGATTAAGCTAGATGTATTAGTTAAATTAACTGATTTTTAAACTATACTTTATCTGGTGAAGCATGTTTTGTGCCTGTTTATTTGCCTTACAAATCTTTCACTGGTGAATATAAGGTTGGGGAAAAGATTAAGTAAAGTGAAAGTCACGGAAAAAAAGTTGACCTTGGTCTAAGCCAATGGGAAAAGAAGGAAGAGACTAACAGGAGCATGTCATAATCTGAGGAAAAGCAAAATGCTAAGGACAGAAAAACAGAGTAAAATAAAAATAATCATTGAAAACAAAGTGGGTATACTAGGGGCTGAGAAGGTGGCTCAGTGGTACAGCCCTTGCCTTGCATGCTCGAGGCCCTGGGTTCGATTCCTCAGCACCACACAAGGAGAAAAAGCTGGAAGTGGTGCTGTGGCTCAAGTGGTAGAGTGCTAGCTTTGAGCTGAAGAGCTGAGAGACAGCACCCAGGCCCAGAGTTCGGGCCCCATGACTGACAAAAAAAAAAAAAAAAAGGGGATATTCTGGGCTGGGGTTAGTGTCCAGTGGCAGAACATTTTCCTAGCATAAGTGATGACCTAGTTTCCATCCCTAGTAGGACACAAACACACACACACCCAAAACACACACACACATGCGCACACAGGTACAGTACATGGAAATTAGGTGTGTACTGAGGACATGAGTTGAACTATTTACAGAAAAAAGGAAACTATTTTCAGAAAAAAGGAAAGAGATATTAGGTAAAGCTCAATGACTGAGTAGAATGAATAAAACAATTTTGGTGAGGTGACAGTGAAGAAAACTGAATGCCAGAAACTATTGCTGATTTGAAGGGCTTTGGGCTTGACATTTCTGTTACATATATTGAGAAATGTGAAGTAAAAATTGAGATGGGGCCTGGGAAGGTGGCTCAGTGGTAGAGTGCTTGCCTTGCATGCATGAGGCCCTGGGTTCATTTCCTCAGCACCACATAAGCAGAAAAAAACTGAAGTGGCACTGTGGCTCAAGTAGTAGAGCGCTAGCCTTGAGCTGAAAAGCTGAGAGACAGCACCCAGGCCCAGAGTTTAGGCCCCACGACTGATTAAAAAAATAAAAATAAATAAAATATTGAGATGAAAGACATGTGCAAAAGTTAAGAAAAACTAAAAAAACCTCATAAAAGGATATTCTAACCATTGTGTGTATTGACTATGCTCATTTTTTATATATACTATGGAAAAACAAGTCGTTTAAATGAGGATGCAGGTGGACCCGTTGCAACAATGAGAAGTACAAGTTGTCATGTGGAAAACGAACTTTACAACTTTGGTGGGGGGGGGGGAGGATTGGGTGGGGGGGCAGGGGGAGGCTGGGAAGGGATGGGAAGGGGAAACAAAGGAGGAGGCTACAATGCTTGATAAGAAATGTACTCATTATCTTGCCCATCTGTGTCCCTGACAAGTACATTGTGGTCATCTGACTGAATTCTGGCCAATGGCATGCAAACAGTTTCTTGAGTTGTGAGAGCAGGTTCTTTATCACGTCTTTAAGAGGGATTGCTTGCCCCTATTCCTCTGTTCTCTTCTTTGGCTGGGAAATGATGGCTTGGATAGTCACTCTGAGTCTAGAGACAGAAGCCACAAGTACAAGATGGCAGCTCTTCCCTTTTATAATGTAATCTGTTTTATTTTCTGGTGGAAAATGAAAGAACATTCTAAATTGTGGTATTTGAGGCACTATTTTGAAGACTGGGAGGTCAGTAATTCTTTCTGTGCTGAAAACTTTACTAGCAGTAAGTAGAACTTACCTGCAGTCACTAAGAAGACAAATTATATGCCTTCCCTTGAAATAGGTCGTGAAAACACAGAAAACTCTAAGTATGAACTGTATCTTATTGCTTTTAGCAGTGTGCTGTAAGGCCCTGATGAAGTCTGGTGAGATTTAATGAGTTAAATGGAGAGATGAAAGAGATATAACTGCTCTGTTCTCAGCAAGTGTCAAGCAATCTAAATTGACTCTGGGATTAGTAACTTGGCTAAGTCACCTGTTATTGTACACAAACTAACAGTAGATAAAGTTGTCACTCAGGATTTTGCTGAAAGGTCTTCCCTTAAGTGTTCTCAACCAGAAATATTAGATAATCCAGTTACAAAGTCAATTTAAGTTTGCTGTTTTCCCAATGAATATGGCTGCTTTTAATTCAAGAGAGAGAATAACACTATCACAGTTATATCCAGATAATCCAATTTGGCTATGGTTTTGACTACAATTGAGCAAATTATATTGCCAAAGAACTTTCAGGCCTAACTGTAAAAAAGGCTTGTGATTGTTTCACCATAGAGCACCTCTTGAAACCCTAACTCTCATTCAGAGGAAAGCTGAGAAGTTTGTGCTATCTTTGACTTAAAATATAGGATTCCATGTCCATTATCACATCTAAAGTAGGAAAGATGTATGTCTTAAAATTTTCTTTTTTTTGCCCATTCTGGGGCATGAACTCAGAGCTTGGGCACTGTCCCTGAGCTTTTGTTCAAGGCGCTACCATTTGAGTGAGCCACAGTGCCACTTCTGGCCTTTTCTGTTTATTGGAGATAATCTCTTCAACTTTCCCCACACAACTGACTTTGAACTTCAGTTCTGAGATCTCAGCCTCCTGACTAGCTAAGATTATAAGGTGAGATCCACAGGTGCTAGGCTTGATATATGTCATTCAACACTATTATAGATGTGCCCCCAGGGAATGGATAAAATAGAACTATGCATGTGTTCCCAAGCAAGGTAATACGTTCATGTTCCTTCAAAACTATATATTGGCATATTTGTGTAATATGTAATCTGAAGAAAGGAAAGGCAGAAAGGCCAAGGTAGCTTACTGTCAGCAGAGGTCAGTCTCATCTCTTCTGATTGTGAAAGAGCACTATTAACTCAGAAGCCCTATAGCTACCTCTG